GTGTGTGTGTGTGTGTGTGGGGGGGGGGGCTCTCTGTATTTTTAATGTCCAAAATATCTTCTTGACTCAATGAACTGCTCTGCAACTTGCATCTTGTTTGCAGATAGTATTGCGATGTGACTGTCTAGTTAAGTTTTTCTCTTGACTTTAGGAATTGTTTTCTGTCATAAAATGCAGAGTAAAGCTGATGTACACTTGGTTCTTAGATGTCTTGGCAGCTGTTCCTTGCAGTAAGAAACTAAATATTACATTGTCTTATCAGTGTGGCCTAGTTATTTCTTCCACAGAAGCACTGGAAAGACATAATATTGCTTAATTTCTAACAGTCTGCATGTTTTTCTCCAACAGGAACTGTTCTTATCAGAAGCAGTAATGGCCAACTAATGCTAGTATCTCAACAAGCAATAGCACGAGCACAGAACCAGCCACAAAATAACACAAGTGTGAGACCATCTGTAGCAACCAGCACACCTGCAATCAGAATATGTGCTGTACAGGTAAGTTTTCGTAGCTTTAATTTGACATAGTTGTATGTTACATAGTTACAACGGGCAAACAAGTTATGGAGGGCTAAATAAGCATTTGAACGCTTTCTGAAGAACAGCATGATGGTGTTTTGGTTTTGCACATAATCATCACTATGTGCTTTGCTTTCTGAGTTTGAAAAATCTGCTAGCTGTTACATATGGTATAGTTCAGATTAAGGAATTGCTCTCTGATTATGAAGATGTGAAGGGTTTTAAAAAAACAGCCAAACAATCCAAAACCAAAATCCTGCCTAAATGGTTACTGCTAGTAACTACAACCTTGGGATCGTCTGACAGGATACTACTTTGAAGCTGAGTGAAGCTGAGGACCTTTCCCATGTCCCCAGGATGTTTCTCCTTCCCTGAGGTCTGCTGGCTTTTTGCTTCCATCTCTTGTAATGTGGTCAGCATGCAAGAGTAAGAGCAATTAAAAAAAAGTAACCCTCTGCGTATTTCTTTCCAACATGTTCATCTTTTAACCATTTTATTATCATTAGACATTGTGTCTAAATATCTCTGAATCTGTTCTTGAGTATAAACTGGTAGACATATAGCTTTGAATAATTTTTAAACTATGTGGACTATGTGAATTATGGCTGTATTGTTACTGTAAGAGCGGGTGTTTTGATTCATACCGGACAAGAGCAGGTACTGTCTGTTTGGTCATTGATTTGTCTGACAACTGTTCTCTGCATGTGTTTGTTTATTTTTAATTTTTGTTTGTTTTAAGAACTCTGGCACCCAGTTACTAAGGAAAGTAGCAGCTACTCCTGTGAAAACATTATCTCAGACAACAAATGCTGTGGCTTCCACTGTTCAGCCACCTGTTGTAATACAGGTAGGTAGCAAGCTTTATAGTACAGTGGAATAAGTGACAGAGAAAACTGAAGAAAATGGATGCATTCTTGCTATTTCTAATTCTAATCTGGTTCTTAGTAAACTTGGTAACTTCTGTCCTCAGAATAAATTCTTTCCTAAACGTCTTTTTAAAAATGCATAATATAATATGCTTTTCCAGTCTGTCAGAACATCTTCTCCCACTGCAGTATAAAATGCATGAACAAAGGATAAAACAAATAGTTCAAAGAGCCATTTCCAGTTCTTGTGTATCCTGTGACAGAGCTTCTTCAAGCTCTAGCTGAAGCTTTTCTGCAAGATGGAGACTTTCTAATGCTTTCCTGTTGGGGTTCCCCAATTCCTTAAGGGGGAAAAAAACTATACCTGAGATGATGTTGAGGGGGAAATGAGCTGTCTGCACCAGACAAGCTGTTTTTCATGTGTACATTTCTTTCCTTCATTAAAAACTGAAGGAAGGTCATAGCTGAAGACCTGTTTTCTAACTGAGTTTTTCAGACAGGTTGTGCAGATATGAACTGTAAATAGACAGTGGTTGGAAATATCTCATTATTTTTAGGTAGTGTTTTTGTCTTACTTCCTAGGTTTTATTTCTCATTTTCTAGAGAAAAATGTTGTGGGACTCTTCTGAAGAGACTCTTGCTACCTGTAGAGTATGAGACTTCTAGATATAGTTCATCCACCATTCTTGGGGACCAGAGTTCTGGATAAGCATGTGATGAAAAGAAAATTACTTTCCACAGCTAAAATTATCCGTTCTCCTCATAATCTGGAGGAGAAATCGAGGAGAAGTCTGGCTTTTATGTATCTTTTGTGCACAAGAGCTTTAAGGAGACTGGGCTGTAGTGGTTGACCAAAGACTCAGTAAATAAGCAGGATCAGTCATTCAAAAAACCATGCTGGATGTATGTTCTTGACCTTGAGGGTGTTTGAAGGACTGGGGGATATGTTTGCTGACAGTGGTAACTAACAGTCTGACTTAAAATTTGTCCTCGTGCTATTCTTTATTGGCACAAACTACTCACAACTCTATGATCTTTATTCGCTTCATTCTCACTGCAAATGGATAATGTTGGGGCTAAAGGGAAAAACCCAGGGGCCTCTCTTAACACATTTTCTGTTTTGCTTAGAATGGAAACAACGTACTCTTTGTGTTTAAGAACAGTAAAAGGTATTCCATACCCACTTTTATTTTGGAATACTAGCTTGCAAACTGTGCCTGTGATCTCTACATAGAGATCTTTAGGATATAAAAGCAATAGTCATCTACTATACTACCCTTGCACTGGGGAGAAGAGATGAAGGTAAAGATTTATTCCATCCGATGAATGAAGCTGCCTGCATTCTCACACTCTCATGTGGATAAACATTGAGATTTATCATGCTATTAACTTTTCCTTTAACTTACATCTGCCTTTGACTTGGTTCTTCTGTACTTTCTTAGTTCAGTTTTGATGTAATCAATTTAACTTGTGTTCTTCTGAGATATTTGAAGGGGTAGACATGGAGTATTTTTTGTAAGCCATATTTTTGTCTGGTTTAGAACCTGGAGCACTTCTAATGAGCCACAGGGCTGGGTTTGAACAGCAGAAATTATGACTCTAGGTAAAATTAAAGCACTGTTTTTTTTGGAGGGGCTTCCTTGGAGCCCCCTCTGTTTTGCAGAGGATTGCAAAGCCCTCTGTACAAGCTCCTCATACAATAAAGAGTAAATGGGTGCAAGAGGGATGCATACAGCCATTACAGGGCCACTTCTCTCCTCACCCTGGGGGGTGGACAAGAGAGTCATGCTGACAAGGGAGTCTGTGCATAAGGTTGACAGGAAATGTCTGGGGAAAGGAAGGAAGAGCTCTTGGCTCGGATTTCCTTGGTGGCGGTTCATTCATCAGTCCTAAAAGAGCTTGTTGATGTTAGTCTTGAGTACTTTGTGGTCACAGGAGAGGAGTGTTGGTGTGTAAGTATGATGTCATCACAAAAAGTGGGAGACAGTGAAGAAGAAATAATCCTTGGCTGGGTTGTATATCTCCTGTGTGAAGTACAACTTGGAACACTACTATCTGCAAAACTCTTATCTAGTTACTGACTCCAGGATTGTTTTCCTCATCTAGAAAAAAGCATTCCTGAATGTTTAGGCTCTGAGGTTAGGCAAAATACATGCACGTTTTTATTTTTTACCTTCTTCCCAGATGGGGTAGTGAAGCTGCAAAGTATCTAATTAGCATCATGCTGGGGCACTTTCATTTAGATGCAGAGCACTTCTTCTCTTGAAAGTACTTCAAAATATGCAGGATTAATGCCATTTTTTTGGCAACTGTTTCTCTGTTGTTCGAAGTGAGAATGAGAATTGTCAGTAGTGAAAAAGGTTGAGGGCAGATGACAGAAGTTAATTCCCATATATTCATCTTCTTGGGAAAAGGGTCCAGCAGACTTCCTGTTGTTCCCTCCCTCAGCTGATAAAATGCCGTTCTGGTCTTGATGTGTAAACATGCTGGAATTTGCAAGAGATCAGCTCCCGTGAACCTCATGTTTTCGACTTTTAAAAGCCCAGGGCATTGCAGCTTGACAGATCTGTGCTCTGTCCCCTTCCGTCTTCCTCCCATCCATCTGTTTGTGGGATTCTCATGCCCAGTTTGCTTCCCTGTGGTCTTAGAGCTGTTGAGCCTCATCCTTGGAAGAGGCAGTGGTGGTGGCAATGATCCTGCAGAGAGCTATTAAAGTGTTACCAACAGTGGGAGCCTAAGCTGGATAGCTTTCTGGTAGCTGCCGCCTTCTTTCATGTCAAGCTGGCAGCAGCTTGCAGGGGGACAGACCCCACCCAGAAAGAAAATAATTTATAAAGGTGCCAGTGTTTTGCTTTAGCTTTAAATGTTTGTTCATTAATTTTCCTTATCCTGAAAGACTTAAAAGCCCTTTGATATTCTACATGATGTCTGTCCAACTCTGATCAGGTTTGTTGGGTTTTTTTTTAAAATTCCTGGTAGGGTAAATTAGGCTCTTGTGTTACTGTCTTATTAATGCAATTAGCAAGTATTAATTTGTTATTGTTGGATTAAGCTGCAGTGTTTTAAATGTGTTAAGAGTCAGTGAAAGCAATTGTGTTGTGCAAATCGGAACCTAGAATTTGGCCTACAAAACCAGACTTTCTCTTGAGAGGTTTGGAGGAAGAACAGCACCCAGTTTAAGGGTTCAAATGCAAACCTGAAACTCTTGCTTTTCTGTAACGTGGAGGTCAGTCTTTTTTTTTTTTTAGTTTTCAAGTTGAGGAATTGAAAGTGAAGTCTCTTACTCATACTGTATTCTGTTTTATCAGAAGAACTGTGTGGGGTTTTTGGGTGTGGATTTTTTTTTTTCTTTAAAATCTGAAGTAAAAATACTCCAGTTTAGTAGGTTTTGCTCTGGAAATTTCTGTTTGCCTGGTTTGCAAAGGAGAGAGGTAACTCTTGGTTTTTTACTAAACCTTCATTACTCTCCTGTTGCTGGAGCTTCTGAATCTGTTGGTAAATTCTAATGAGATTTTAAAAAGAGGTCTCATAATAACTGAATTTTGTGAGGGTTTGTGTTTGGGCAGTGGAAAGTGAGACCCACATTGCTGTCCACAAGGAAAAGGCAGGAAGGACGTGGTAAGTGCATTTTCTCAGCTGGCTGCTTCTGCTGGCACATACATCCTTCCAAAGTGGATGGTGATGTCTTTTGCCTACTGTATGTGTGATATGAAGAGTAAGGGATACTGCAACTGGGGGAGGAGCTGCAGGGGGTGAAAGGAAGATAAATAATCACTTCGGGTCATATTTATTTATCTACAGAGTAGTATCACCTTAGCATTGTCCAAAATTCATTAGTCTTGGACTGTAGGAGCCTGGCAAAGTTAATATATTGGTTTCTTCAATTACCTTTCTCTCTTCACTTGAAGTTGCAGGCACTGCTTCAGTCTGGGTGACCCTTTGTCATTTCTTCCCCCACCCTTGATTTAAAACAGAATTGTGGCTGTGGGGGTTCTGTCATGGTATTAAATAGAGCCTCTCCAGGCAAATGAATCCAAACTTTTACAAAGAAAAGATAAAAATAGCTTATTTATGTTTTAAATAGTAATGTGGAGGGAGGGTGCCACCTTATATACCAGCAGAATACAGTATGTTTGTCACGTTAGACTTTTTAACCAAAGTGTTAATTTTTCTTTTCAGCCAGCAGCTGCAACAGCTAGTGTTACTACAGTTACTGCTGTAAAGCCTTCGAGTACTGGAACACCTGTAAAACTTCCAGTTACAGGACCACCTGCACAAGCTATCTCCCAAAAGGCAGTCTCTGTGAAAGCAGAGGGCACAACAGTAGCACAGACCAGCGCTTCTACAGTAAGGAAAAAAAAAAAGTTTTTAATTAAAAATTAACATTCTCTATATTCATGAGAGGTTGGAGAGCCAACGCAGCATCTAACAGTCTTCTCTTTATTTTCATGATAGGAGATGCTAGAGAATGTGAAGAAATGCAAGAATTTTCTTGCTACGCTAATAAAACTGGCATCTAGTGGGCCTCAAGCCCATGAGATGGGGCAGAATGTGAAGAATCTGGTGCAAAATCTATTGGTGAGACTTTTTTTTAAAACAAAGTGCATAATTTGTGTACTGTTTTTGACATTGACTTCATCATAGTTTTGTTCCTTCTTTCATTTTTTTTAAACAGCCGAAGAGTTGGATTTGTAGCTGAAGTACAGCTGACCCTCTAACTCTTATGTTATAACTCTTATTTTAACTGAATCCCATGCTGTATTTTCCACCCTCACATTTCTGTTTCATTTTATGCACACAGGTAACTACTGGCTGTCAACAGGAGGAGCTGATAGTGTTAACACAGCTTCTGGGTCTGAGGTGCTTTTTTTTTTTTTTTCCATGTTAGTGTAGTTGTTAGACCTCAACGGCAAGAGCATTACCTTGGAGGTTGTAGTGCAGTACTAAATCCATACTACTGCTTTACACCAAGACAGGACTGAGTTACAGGTTGATAGTGAATCTTCAGTGGAACAAGCATGATGTTATCTATGTCTTTGGACAGTGGGATGGAGACAGTAACATGGTGGCTGCCATCTCTCTCTCCTTGCAGGTGGCTTCTATATGCTGCTTCATGCTGGACCCTAGCACAGCTGGGTTTTCTTGGTAATGATTTCTCCTGCCACTTCTTGTCTTGGCATTTGACCACTGCTGCTGTTTTGTTGTTCCACTATAGCAGAAGGCTGTGGGCTGGTGGAGGGGGACATCTTTGCTAGTGGTACCAAAGGACTTTACAGTCTAGAAAAGCATGGTGTAGACAAAGGTGTAATTTCAGAGAGCACATTGCTTGAAGATGCAGCCTTGCAAAAATTTGATTCCTATGACTGTCCCGCTGAAGCTTTTGTAGGAACGTACTAGAGTTGTTCCTTCTTGTGCTTACAGTACTTTTATTTATTTTTTTTTTCCTAAGAACAGTTGTTAACCAGACATTAATACATTAACTGTGCACTTGTTTGCTTTTTGTAGTATTTTAAAAATGCTGGTTTTCTGTTATTCAGTATGTATGTGTGATTTAAATGAGAAATAAATAAATCCTTTGTATATATGAGGGAAATGAGTAAATGGCAGCTCTGAAGTAAAATGGTCCTTAAGGCAGCACCTAATGAAATGAGTGTCAAGCTCCTTGTATGAACTGAGATGTACCAAATCACTGTATATGTATTGGTGAGACTTTGGTAACCTGTATCCACAGCTCAGTGAGACCTAACAGACAGATCAAGTGACTAAATATGAGAGCTGGTGTAAGTTCTGTTTGTCTGTGAATATACAGTCCTTAAAATCTCTGCTCTGATCATGAAGCTCTTTGGAATGGTTGTTCCAAAAGAGAAATTACTCCTCATGCATATTCTCTGCAGAGACAGAGATTGATGTTGGGTTCCCTCTTCCTTGTGTGTCTGTACCTTCTTGGAGGAGGTTATGTTCTTGGTGACACTGTGGCTGGGTCTCACAGGGTGAGAAAAGGCAGCAGTGTCTGGAGCTACCCACCACCTTATTATTAGCGTCATGGTGGCACTGAAGAAGTGAGTGAGGGGTCTCAGAAGAATGTAGCTTCCTAACTCTCCCAAGCCCTTGAGCCAGGTGTTTGTGCCTGGGGCAAAGCAAAAAGCATTAAGAAAGCATCTGTACTCTGCAAGAGTGTTACTGTGCTGTTCAGGTTCTCCTGATTTTGAAAGATGGTGTTAAGTGTTATGCTTTATCATGCTATGAATGCATTAGACTAGAATTGTTTTACAAAAACTACTGAGTTGTCTTTTGTCGCTGGTCTCTTTAAATAGATCTTTATGCAGATAAACTACTTTTACAGAAAAAAAGTACTGTAGTGGATTTTAAGTATCTCTGAATAACAATAAGGTACTCAAAAGGATCAGTGCTACTTATAAACTTGTTTCTATCCGTTCACTTCAGTGAATGGGTGTTTGAACAAGTATCCTTAAGTGTGTTAACTGCCTGTAGTTGAAGACAGTAATTTAATTTGATAATACTATATCTAAATTACTACATCATTCTATACTAAAACCTTTTGTTTAAAAATACAGGAGGAAAAAAGCATTTGAGTACTGAAATCGAACAATTCCATCATAATATAAATTTCAATGAAGTTTTGATACGTCTGGGGGAAAAAAAAAAAAGTTAGATTCATAGTTATATCTTACCACTGTAATTATACTTTCCTCTTAGGAAGCAAAAATTGAACCAGAAGAATTTACAAAAAAGCTTTACATAGAGCTCAAGTCATCACCACAACCATATTTAGTTCCTTTTCTGAAGGTAAGAGTCTGATTGTGGATATGTAACATTTAATGAGGGGAGGGAGGAGGATCAGAAAATAAAAGGAAAGAGTAAGCACTCAAATAGGTATTTGCTCAGGTCAGTTGAGGAAAAGGTACTTAACCTAACCCTGTGTGTTGCTCTAGTGAAGACAATTTTTTGGGAGAGAGAGGATTACAGAGTAATTTACGCAAGGCGTTAATGGAGACTAATGTTTATGAAGCTGGAGCATCTAAGAGTAAAGCAGCTGTATTAAGATGACCTCTTACTTTCTCATCAAAACTGTAGCCTCTTCGGAGTTCTAATGCAGAAGACTGACAACAGCGGCTGTGCACATCTTATGCAGTATTTAAGCTCAAGAATCTATGTAAAGCTATTCGTCCATTTGCTGATTTATGTTTATCTGGAGACAGAAAAAAAAAATCCCACCCCTTTCTCCAGAAAGGGTCTGGCAGCACTACTTCAGTTTAGCAAAAAAGACAACTCCACCTCTGTTCAAGCATAATCACATAAATTAAAAAATCCTCTCAACACTCATAATCATATGATAGAATGGGTACTGATAAAATAAAAATTAACATCTTTGTATAGCAAGCGTTAAATACCAGTGAAAACGTGGAAAATCTGGTTACATTTACTTAATTTCACGGTATTCTTAGGCATTCATTATAGACATGATGGAGAATCAAGAAAGAATAGTTAAGTGGTAAAGATGGGACAGAGGTTTTCTGGAGTTTGTCCACTTCCTTAGTATTTGACAGCACATGTGATAATGTTGATACTACTTTGGATGACTGGTGTTAATTTGTTCAAGTGTGGGATGAATGTTTTTGTTACAGTGGCAGCCTTTAAATGCTTTGCTAAAAAGTTTGCCACGAGTCTAGAAGACTACAGTCATCTCTGCAGGGCTTGATAAAAAATTTTCATATTGGTCACTTTTTCTGATTTCCTGGAAGCTTCTTAAATGCCCATGCAAAACCTAGAAAAACAAACAGCTCAGAGTATGGGTTTTCCTGCACCTGGGGCAGCTCTGGCTGCAAAAAAATCAGGCTGAGTGCAAGGTTGGTGTGACTGACAGGTTTCCTATGAGGTGCATGGAGTCTCAGCAGAGCTCTACTAGCTGCCAGGGCAAGTTTGGCTTCAGATTTAGTGTAGCTGCTTTCTGCAGGGCCCTGGCTGATGAGCCCCACTGGATGTGGGAAGGCTGTGCCTGTGTGGGGGCCAGCTCAGGTGCTGCTGTGCTGTGTTCCTGAAACAACACAGGTGAACCTCAGTAGCTCTGCACAGACCCAGCCTAAATCTGTCACAGCTAAACCTTGTCTGGGGGTGGTGAGTCCTGTTAGCTCCAAACTAGCTCATGCGAAGGAGCCGAGGGGTGCCTGCACTGCACTTGCTAATGCTTCTACTCCCTTCAGGTCCCCTGTGGGTTTATTAGCTCAGGCACTGGGCTGTCCTCATGCACTCACAGAAGTGCTCAGCCAGGGTTAATAAGCCGTCCCACAATGTGGAGAGTGTTAAACTTGGTGCACAGACCTCGAGGCAGTTCCACAGGAGTTTAGTTGGGTTCATCAGTGCAGGTCAGACCCTGACCCATCACAGCAGAGATGTGGCACATTTCTCCTGCATCATTTCTCCTGCAGCATGCTGGTATCATCTAGGTTTTTCTGGTTTGGGTACTATCCTTACCCGCTAATCCTCGACAAGATGCTCTCTCCCTGGTGCACACTATATTCACAAAGAAATAACTATGACTTCAGAAACGTTGTTTAGACATTGTCATGGTCAGTTAGCTCTCTGTAGTGTTACTGATCCTATAAAACATTTTTTCACCCTGATAGCTTTTTTTCCAAAATACCTTAAGGATGTGTAGTTCATACACACCAGTTAAGTCTGGTCTGTAACTCTGAGCAGCTGTGATGGGCCTGAGTGCCAAATGGAAAGCTGACTTCAGGAGCACTTCTGTAAGGTGCTGTGGGAATTGATGCTGGCCTTTTTTGTGGGGGAAATACCTGCATCTTTTAGCTATTGAAGTGGAGTTTTAGGGAGGACTCTCTGGAGTTGTCTCTTATCTTTAAGCTGCAGGTTTTTGATGAAGTTGTTGCACATGTTTTGTTTTGTCTGTTCAAATAGGTGGAAAAGTACAGTGACTTTGGCTGTGAAGCCTGTTTGATTTTGAAATCTGCTGGATGCTTTTGTTAAATAAATTGCGTCAGGATCATGAGGAAAGCTGAGCAGCTTCTTAAAAGAAAAGGAAGTGAATGTTAAAGATAGGTGTGCTGCAGAAGATCCAGATTTGCAAACAATTTCTTCACTTGGTATATTAGCATGTGAGACGTGATCCTTTTGCATGAAGCCCAGAGCAACAGCACTATGCTGGAGACGTAAAAACTTCAGAAACTGTCAAGGGGGGAAAAAAAGGGTTTTGTGAGAATATACAGGTAGCTGCAGAACTGATTTCCCCTGGTTCTGAGCCGTAACAGATTGTACATAGTCAGGGAGAAAAATCTGTAGAGAGCTTGAAGATTATTCTGTCCATTAACCTTCTCAAACACAGCTGTAGTAAAAATGAGATGTTGCCAGATACCTTTACTAATGTTCTCCTGTTGCAGAGAACTATCTAGTTTAGGTGTGCTGCTGCAGCTATACAGAGATTATTAAAGTGGTATCCCCCCCTAGTGTAGATACAGCTGTATTGGTATAGAAATGCTGGTATCTTCAGAGCTTGCTTCTGACTTCAATGGATAATTTGTAGTTCTCTGTCAGACAGGCTCTGTGAAATGCGCACAGCTCTTACAATTGTATCGGGGGGTTTTGGCAAAATAAATTTTTTTGAGGTAGTAAAGCAGCTAAAATGATCTTATTCTGAAACATAAATTCCAAACTGAAAAATCTAAACATAGGAATGAAGTTAAGGGTGAGTTTCCCTATACATGGGGTTTGCTACATGCAGTGAAGCTGTAGTGACTGACCTTTGCTCAGCCTGTGCTGATAAATCTTGTGATCTTCACTGAGCAGCATTGTCATCTAATTTAAGGGTGCCTGAATTCTAGCAAAATTTGTTTGGAATAAGCAATTTGTTGTCTCATGAAAAATTAAATTGGAAAATGAGGAAGAGGATTCAGTTGCTAATGTAGCAGTATTGTGGAAGACTGCTGATATTACATCCAGTGTGTTTTCATTTTTCTTCTAGAAAAGCATGCTTGCCTTACGGCAGCTAATGCCCAACGCTCAGAGCTTTATCCAGCAGTGTTTGCAGCAGCCAGCTCCAACCCAAGAAGCTGTTTTGACTTGTACCTCTGCAACACCAGCTCCTTCGATAGCAGTGACAACCTTGGCTGTAACAACAACTTCTCTTCCAGTTATAAAACAAGAATCTGCCTCTGTAACAGTCACAGCCTCTCCATTTATAAAACAAGACTCTGCCTCTGTAACAGTCACAGCCTCTCCAGTTACAAAACAAGAATCTGCCTCTCTAACAGTCACAGCCTCTCCAGTTACAAAACCAGTGTCTGCTAGTGCATTGGCAACAGCTTCTCTGCAGACTGTGAAGCCTGTTCCTTCTTCTGCAGTGGTGACAGCATCTCTTCAGCCTGCAGCTCCAGTGCTTACCACAACAATAGCAACATCAGGGCCGACTGCTATTCAAACTGTCAAGCCAGTCTTCCCCTCTGCAGTAGCAACACCATCTCTCCAGTCTACAAAGCCAGTGCTGGTCTCTACAGCAGCATCTTCAGCAACAACCCCTCTCCAGCCTCTGAAACCGGTCATTGGAACCCCAATCAGTATTAAAATCTCAAAGCCAAACTCCATTGTTGCACAGTCAGTGGGTGCTCAGCAGGTCGTTAAAGTGAAACAGTTGGTAAGATTAATTTCTCTGCTTCTCTGTAACCTGGCTTCTTTAGTTTCATAGTCAAAGAATCACAGAATACCAGGTTGGAAGGGACCTCAGGGATCATGTGGTCCAACCTGTCTAGGCCTAGACAAGGTAGCCCAGCACCCTGTGCAGTTGAATCTTAAGTGTCCAATATTGGGGAATTCACCACTTCCCTGGGGAGATGATTTTAGTGGCTGATCATTGTCATTGGAAAAATTTTCCTCTTGTGTCCAATTGAAAAGATTCTTGGGGACATTCCCCTTCATCTTTTGCATGTGACTCCTTGTAAAAAGGAAATCTCCATCTTTTTTGTAGCCACCCTTTAAATACTGGAACATGGTGATAGGGTCTCCCTTAAACCTTCTCTTCACAAGGCTGGACACACCCAGTTCTCTCAGCCTTTCCTTATATGACCACCTTCCCAATCCTTTGATCATCATTTTGACTCTTAATGTTTCGTAAAGAGGATTCCAATTTGGATCTTAGCTCTTTTTTTTTTTTTTTTTAAAACATATGAATCTAGTCTGTCATGAGTTAATTATATTTGTTATAGTTTAGGGATATTGAGCCCTTGTTGAAAAGGTGACTCTAAAGCTAAGCTGTAAACTCGATCTCTTGCAAGACATGCTGACTACCATTCCACCAGATTGAACATCCACCTTGAGAAACAAGGAGCAGGAGTTCTGACCCCCGCTATGCGTGCAGCCAGGCTAGGTTGGCATCTGAAGAAAAGGCAGGAAATGCTAGTGTTGGAAACAAAAATTGCTGATGGTATGCTTACATTAATTACTATTAGATGCCCTGTTAGGGTTGTGCCTCAGCTAGCCACCAGGGATTTCAGTCTAACTGGGTGGTTCCTACCTTGGATACTTTGCAGGCACAGGTGGCTTGATGACATTTAGTGATACATTAACTGAAATGTATGAACGAGCTCGAGGAGCTTTTCGGAGCAGAGTTCTGACCTCCAAATTTACTAAGACATGTTAATTATGAAGTCATCTGAAAACGATCTTTTTTCCTATCAGGCCTCATTAGCTAACAAATTCCAGGAGGAATAAATGTCTTATTAAAACAATACCCTCAAAAGCAATGTGCTAACATTTTTTTATTTTCTTGGCACAGCTTAACTTCTTGCTAATGTTAATGTTAAATACCAACAAACTGTGGATTGCAGGTATACCCAAAAGAGCAATGTTATGAAATACAGTAGGTTTGATTTATGGGTGTTTGAGATACCAAGTAGTATGCTAACTGGTCTACTTGTAAGTAATGTTCTCAAGTATTTTGGGAGAATAGTAGGGAATCTAGTGTGTGAATTTCTTTTGTAGTTTGTTTATTGTGTATACTTGATTTAACAGTATTCAGACCCCTAAAATGTTTTGGTTTTTTAATTTTCTTACTTTCAAAGTGCATAAGGTGGATAAAATTCAAGAATCCTGCATTCTAAATAAAGAGCTTATGCTACCAGCTTTTCACCTTTCCAGACTTGCTTAAAAAGAACAAAGCACTCAGCTGTATGGAGGGGATGAGGGGTCCTTTTTATGAGTGGGTTTGTTTTTTAAAAACAAAACCAAACACACACATACACACCCACACACCCCCCCCAAACGAACAGTTATCAGGCATATGCACTGACAGTCTTTGACAGTAGTAGCTAAAGCCAAATTGGAAAAGGAGTTGGTACCCTTACTGTCTTTGAGGACTAAATTTGAAATTCCAGCCAGAAGAAAAGGAGGGCTTCTTAGGTTGTACAAGGGCTGGAGAACAGTGTGTTGGCTACACAGCAAGCCATGTAATCCAGGGGAAAGGTTGACCATCTGTACAAATAGACGAGGAAGCTTAACTACACTGGAGAGTCAAAACACTTCTTGAATATGATTGGTGAACACAAGAAATTACTTCTGCCTTCTCCACTACTGCAGTGTGGCAGCCTATTGCAATTGCTTTTCTTCACTGTGCCTTACAAACACCGATTTGCATACAAAACATGTTTTTAATCCTCATTTGAGTAGATCCCAGGCACAGTGATTAAAATACTTGCACTTCAAAATACCTATTTGATTTTGGTCTTGGATATAGTTGAAGGGCTGAGTTGACCACTTCACAGCTTAGCCATATCAGCAGCTTGGTGTTTATTCAGACATCCTATTAGTACAAAGAACAAGTTTGAAGCAGATGCATCTTCTAGGGCTTCCCTGATGCCTTTCCTTGAAAGGACAGAGGGTCAGTTTCCTCCCACAAGACAACAAATCTGGATCTCCCCTCCCTAAACAGAAGGGTCCTGCTGCCAGCTGAAAAGAAGCACATGCCAGCTGTGCAAATCTGTCCATACAATGCTGCCAGAAATTTCTTTCCCTTTCCAGCCTTCAGGGTTTTCTGTTGCCATCACTCCCTCTGCATGCCCATTTCTAATTTAGGTCTCTTGTGCTTGTAGAACGTAAAGCAAACTTTTATGTGTCAGCTCTGTTGTAATGTTGGTGCTTAAGAATGCAGCAACACAATATTTTAATATCAAAATTGTGACTGAAGTGATGTAACATACAACTTTTGTTTCTGTAGCATGATTATCAAAACTCTGGGTTTGTATGGTGGACAGAGAGGGGCCTGTTCTTCAGGGATGCTATTGGGATTAATCACACGCCTGTGCTGTGAGAGTTGCACCTCTGAAAGGGTTCCCTCCTGAGGATGTTCTTAACACAGCCTCATTTAAGGGCACTGGCTTACAAAGAAGTTTGGTTGTTGGAAATAAATCTTGTCTTGCTGTAGTATTGCTTTGTCTTTTGTTAAATCACAATAAATGAAAACTTACTTTACTAGTCGCTGGCTTCCAATAGTGAGAAAGCTGCGGTGAGACTACAACTTCATGTTAAGCATAAAGAGCAAGAGTTTTATGGTGTAGTCCCTGCAATTACTGGTGAGACACGCTCCCTGGACATAGCTGATGGTTGAAGAAAGGAGTGAAGTGCTTGTGCTGTTCCAACTACTTGTTCTTAGTGTTGAGCCCTCAGAGCTGAACTGAGCTTTCTTGAACAGTCTCCTCTGTTATTTTTCAAGAGTTTTTTGTTCTGGATGTATGGTTTTGCATTCAGCTGGTGAGGCTTCCTTCATGAAGCAATACTGCTTGTAGTGTGTGATGATACCTCAGCATCTCTCTGCTGATCTTCGAACTTTGCTTTATGAATGTAAAAAAGGTTCAAGTAAGACTTCTCTCTCAGGAAGTTGTCTCTATGCTATCAGATGGATGTTGCATTGCATTTTTTTTTTACTTAAAGTGTGTTGGTGCTTTTTATTCTGATGTCCCTGTTAACCTACTTAATGGCACAAAGGAACAGTCCCTTTTGTTTATTACTTCTTGCAGCTAACCTGAAAAGAGACAATTAGTCTTTCTCACAGATACTGCCTATTTTTGTAATGCTTCTTTATGGCATTAGATCCTTGTCGATATTTCTAGGAGTGTTGCCCTCTCCTGTTGCAAGTCCCAAGGACTTTCAACTTCTGTTAGTCTAGCAGCTAGAATGGCGAACAGAAAATCAGCTTTACTGCCAACACGTCCTTTCTGTTTCTCGTTGATCTTGTCTCCTTGGTTACTTATTTTCTAATTTCCACCTAGACTGTTGATTTAAGATTGCCTATCTCTGTTCTTTTGTCTGCTGTACCTTAATCTTGAATGCTTATGTCTCCTCCTGTGCAGTTTCAGTGTCTTGCAGGTTGAAGATGAAGCATCATTCTTACTGGTGGTAGGGAGGATCTCTAGGTGCATGTCAGTATGGGTGCTGACAGAGCCCGTGAGTAGTTTGTCCAAGCTGGTCAGTGGCTCAGTAATTAGCTGAAAACATAAATGATGCTGTTAACATTATTTGCAACTTCCATCGTATGGATCTTTCAGAAAGATAAAATTACACTTTGGTAAAAGCACACAGAAGCAAATGTTACGAAGTGCTGCATGGGTGAGCCTGGACTCTGTCCACAGTCTGTCCCTGTAGTCTGGTTCTTTCCTCTTATGGATCTTATGTTTCTTGTCAAGAACTGTCTGTTCAATGTCTGTTTTTCAGACACCACCTTCAGTTTAGTTATTCTACACTACTGCTGCTATGCTAAACCACAGTGCTATTAATATGGGGGTGGGTGGGGTGTATGTTGACTATTTCATACACAGAGTATCTCTTTTTGTGAATGTGTGATGCTTATGCTGCTGATGTTTACTGATAAATCTGAAGTTAGATGACAGAAGGAGACAGCCTAATTTCTGAAGTATAATAAATGTCAATTCTTTAATTAAATCTGAGCGTTGCTGTACAAGCACTCTGTAGACTTTCTGAAGTTAGAATAAATGATGTAGAGGAGAAAAAGTGGTTTCTTGACCTTGGAAATTCCTTGGTATTAGATTTTTGCTGCTAAAAAGATAGGATTCAGTTTGAAGATATTGATAATTTTGTGCTTTGGTAAAGCATGTCTTTCTACTACTTGTAGTAAAGAACTTTTCCAAAGGATGTATCAAAAGCTGCAGCCCACATTCTGCTAGCTAGGAGGCTTAGAAATGAGGCTTTTAAGAATGCTGCAATTTTATTACTTTCTTGCATTTCAGTAGCTGCCCCTGAAGAGGAGGAATTAATATTTATGGACTCTGCCTGTAGGTCTGTGTTGTGATGGCATCCTGCTCACTGTTTTTGTTTCTTTCAAGAGACTCTTTTAAACAAAACTATCAACCCCCTTACTTTTTACCCTTCAGCAGTGTACTGATGTTTTTGTATCGAGACTGTACTTCCTATAGGTGTTGCTAACTGGTACTTCCTGTTCCCACTAACTGATGGTGGTCAGTGTACTTTTTGCTTAACACTTTGAAACTTGGCATCTCAATTTACAGTTGATGTTGTGGCTCCAAAAATGCATTGGTAACTTTATAGTGTATACTCTTAATTCTTGGCAGGAAAAGGATTTTGTGCAAGACTTGCAGCTGTTTGTTTTGGCATTCTTTCTTTTTAACTAGGTGTGTGTGATACCTACCCTTTTGAACTTGCTGTCAGGCAGACTCAATATTCAATTGTTAGTCTGTTAAGCAAGATTTAGGGAGAGAAAAGCCTCTTAGTGTAATGGTTTGTGTAGTACTCAGTGAAACTCGTCTAATATGGTTATCAATAGAGAGTAGGGGTGAAGTGTCAGCGCTCACTGAATGAGCTGGAGCTAAAGCTCAACACCAGTTGTTAAAATTTGACATGAAGTAGAAAAAAGAAAATGAGGTTTTTCTGAGCATGTTGGTTGCTTTAAACTGAAAAGTAGACATGCATGGGTGCCCAGTGATACTTCTGGCTAAACGAACATGTTGATACTATTTACTTCTCTGAATGTTTAGCTCTTCTCACTCCTGATAATGGATTTTCCATTTACAGGTAGTCCAACAACCATCAGGAACCATTGTAAAGCAAGTATCTACAGTCCCCCAACCCTCAACACTGACCATACAGACATCTGCTGAGGAAAGGATGCCACTGAATACACTTGTTCAAACTAATCGGTTTCCAACAGGTAAAGTGGGACCTCTTTAATGGAGAAGGGAGAGCACTGTTGATGTGTAGAAATAAGTGCAGGCTGTTGTTTAAATTGTAGAAATGTAAGGTGGTTGTCTAATCTAAGCTCTGCAGTACGTTAAGTGTCTTTACTGTCTGCTTGGATTTCTGATGGCACTTAGTGTCATGTCTGCTTCTGGCACCTGTCACAAGCATGTCAGTCAAACATTTGTACTTGTTAAAGTACTGTGAATAAGCTCCTTGCAGTGAACTTCCTTTAAACTGTGATGCTTTTGAGAATCGTTTCATGAGACTTTGCTTTTTCCTTCAACAGGGTCCAGGTTGATGCATAACATGAGTTGGTCTCAGCTAGTGAGTCTTCATAAAACCTTTCACTGGCCAGCACAGAGGAGGGTATTTGCTGAGAGCGTGTAGGGTTTTTGGCCATACAAAACATGTAGAATTTAAGACTATAGAATGTCTGGTTTTCAGATGGACCTGCTTTGTTGTTACTGATTCTGCAGTAGCCTTTGCTAGAAGTATGAACTGATTAAACAGATGTCTTAGCATTTTGCTTACTATTATGCCATGTTCTTTGGTTTGTTTTAGGTTCCATTCTGAAACAAATTACCCTGCCAGGAAATAAAATTCTGTCGCTTCAAGCATCTCCTGTTCAGAAAGCTCAAATAAAAGAGAATGGAGAAACATCTTTCAGGTAAAGATAAACAATATCAGAAATTTACTATAGGAAAAAAACAAAAGGAACAGACAGCAACTATAGAGGTGGGAATGGAGCCCAAATAAAAGCAACTTGTTTATTATACTGATTGGCAAGAGGGAATCTAAAAATTTTGACCTCATAGCAGATGTTAAATTATTTGTAATATAAGAAAAGTGTCCTGATGAGATCGGATTTTCATCATGCTATCGCAAGAGTGCAATTATATGAACAGTGTCCCATCAATATGTATTAGTTTTTCACTTGTAGAGGAGGCATATTGATCTCCATTCTATGAGTACCATTAACTAATCTAAATTAAAGTTACCTTGTATTGAAAGCTCTCCATGGAATTAGAACAGATATAACTTGTTTTTTACGGACAGCCAGAAAACACTGAGCTGTTACTTGGGCTGGTTGGTAACCTGTCTAAAGCTCTGTGCTGTATTTCAAAATCTTTTATTAGCTCCTCTTACAAGCTTGTTCCTGTATGTAAAGGTGAAAGTCTTTGACTACACCTCTAATTATGTCTTCTGGCATATTCTTTAGGCCTTTAGATTACAAGAGTGCTTAAAGCTTTTAGTTCTGGTAACTGATTAACTTTTCAAAAGCAGAAATTATTTCTGTAGCTCTGAAACGTAATATTGGAACAGAGGTACAGACTGCCATAATCATTACTGGTCTTACGACTTTTAAGTCAAGCTTGAAGTTACTCTTCTGGGGATAAAAGCAGACATGAGACCTTTTGTCTTGTTGACCAGTTGACTTCTCATCTCTTGAAAGCTACAGCTTTGTGTGCACTGATATAGACAGTTGTTGTTTACAGTAACATACAGTATATAATGAACACTTAAAACACTGGTAGCCAGAAGTTGAAATGAAAAGCTGATGTTAAAGCAATATCTCTGTTCAGCTATCTCAAGTTTTTATGAAATATACTTCAGATAATAATTTGGGATTTAATTTTTGGTAGTGATGTTTGGAAGGAAAAAAAAAAGACTTCATAAATATAATAGTTTGAAAAAAACCCCAAAAGCAAACAAATCAACTCCTACTAAAAAATTAGAAACCTTTTTTTCTGTGATCTTCCAATTGGAATATCAGCTGCCTTACATGAAGAAGTTTGAATTCTTGAAATTCCTTCCCTAAGTTGTTAAATTTTTAGTGTAGGAAAAACTATAGTTTTACAGTGTGATCCAAGACGGATTTCTGTTCTTGCTATTGGATTATGATCTTGAATTCTCCTGGACTTAAGTTACTTTCAGATTTGAAATCTCTATAAGTCGTCTTACATTTTTCTATTAAGTCTGTTGTCTCTGAAGAATTTATGTCTTCAAATACACCCCTGTTGATGCTTCTACTGACTGTTATAACCAAACTTTCTGACTTTAAAGACTACATATGAGAATCTTCATATATCTGAACCTGGACAGTGTGTACCTGAACATGTGTGAGGCAGAGAGAAGCACCATGGACCCCTTTCAGCTTTTGTGATGAGATTCATTATGGACAGAGAGCATGTGTTGTAATGGATGCGATTGTACATGTGACACTTCAAACTGTGTACTGTCATTGCAGTATGTCATCGAGCCCGATTCCATCTGCCATTGTGTGACTGGGTTAGGTTAGGATTTGAGAACTTAATACTCACTAAGCTGTACTTAGTAAGCTGCAATTTGACCTTATCTGCTCTTTAATGGGCTGTTATAGGTTGCTTGAGATGAGCAGTAGAAAAAATGGTGACACACCCCCCCTCCACCCTGTACCCCACCAAAAAAAGCCCTTGCAGAAATTATTTAAGCTAAGCATGGGCATGGCTGACACTTGATTGTCCCGTGGCACATATTGTAAAGGTCAGTCTCTTTTAAAAGCATCAAAATCTTCATGAACTGCTCTACATACTTTTCTAAAGTAAATGCTAGAGAGCACCCTCTAAAAATATATATATTTGTTTTGCATCTGTTCTATTTAATAGAGTTGTTCTCCAGAGCACATACAACTCTGACTTGTGCATTTTGTCTGGAAGATACTAGTGTAATCAACTAGCAGACAAACAGGAGTGAGATGATGGAGTAGAGAAGGTCTGGGCAGCTGCTCCTGCCCCATGGTGGTGGAGAGCGCTGATGGTTCTTGCTCTGCTGGAATTGTTGTGTCTCATTAGTTGTCCATGATGGTGCATGGAGGTTTGGGTTAAGTGTGCCTTGCTAGTTTTCCCTTTGACTGTTATATAAAATGGAGTAAATAAAGATGAATTCGAAAGACATGTGCGTTGGTCAAACACCAGAGGGTGCCACAGACTTACTTTTCAACCAATACAGGCAAATGCGTAGATGTGCAGTGCAGCTGCACTGTTCAGGCTTCTTTTCCAGTGGAGTATTTAGTATAAATGTCAAACCTGACTTCATACAGGGTAATGCTCTGAACTCTGTCTTCTGTTTTCCCCCTTGTTCTGATAAGTTTAAATCTCTGGAGACTTAAAACACACAGGAGAGTTTTTCTTCTTAATTTCTGGATGTGACATGATCAAATGCAAAAAGCATTAAAGGAGGTGGTGTGGAAGAGGGGCTATATGGTGGGATTGCTGAAAACAAAAGCAAGTCCATATCCATCAGAAACGTCTGCATGTATACTCCGGAATATTTTAAATTCATCATTTTGTTAGAATGATTTTTATAGTTTACCAGAAGTACGTGATGCCTTACTTGAAATGACTGCGGTTTGTTTGAACATCAAGGAAAAAAGAATAATAAAAAGTACAAACTTAACATGGGTTCTGAAACTTGCATTAATCCTTAGTGAGCACTGCTTCTAAGGAAATGTGACAATAGTTTCTTTGGATTAAGTAAAATAAGTGCAGCAGTGTTTTCGTAGGTGCAAATTAATCTTTCATCAAGGCTAGTGACTTGGTGACTTAATGCAAACTTATGCCCCACAGTGAAGAAGTTAAAACTGGTCCTTGAAAACAGTACGGGTGAAGATGTCTGCTTGCATATAAAATCTTGTATATGTGTACTCAGAGACTGTGTGCATGGAAGTAATAAAGAAAATAGTAACCTGATAGGGTCTGGGTTTAGAGAACTAAAACGTGTATGTAGAAAGGTTGGTAAATGTGTAGCATAAAATCATACGTCCTTTTTGCTTGAGTATTTGGAGTATGTGGCCAGATTAAAAGCTAAAATTATTTACTGAAACTGCATGCTATACAGTTGTACCTGAGGTACAAGCACACTTACTTGGATTCCATAAACAGCTCCACCTGGGTAATGTCAGATTCCAGCATCTGCGGCTCTGCGGTGCTAGTTGTGCTGATTTTGTAATCTCCTTTATCAGCAGATTAGTGGCAGTCACTGCATTCTTGTCTCTGCCACCAGCAAAGACTTTTCTGTAGTGGTCATTAAGAGGAGGAAACTGGAGTGTACTTGTGAAGATCACTTAACACTCAATTAGCATGCAGTGAAACTTCATTTACAGGCTTGAAAGATCAGAGTCTCTGTTAGGCTGACAGAGCATGAGTATATGCTTGGAACCACTCAGTTGCGGCTTGTGAAGGGGTAGGAGGAGGGACTCTGTTCTGGCAGTGGTGACTTAAACTTCAGCTTTGAATCGTAACTGTGGTCACTTAACCATTCTGCCAGTTCTAGGATTTAATGCTTCTCTTAGCACAATGGATTTGGGGCACAAGCCTAGTCAGAAAGCTATGTTTAGTTAGACTTAATGAAGCTGATTTGAGAATCTGTTGGGTCTCCTTTTCCCTGAACAAATAGCATAAGGACTCCTGGCCTTGAGGGCACACAAAGACCAGGAGGAGTAGGGGACAGCTGGACACCTTTCCTACCTAGCCAAGCTTCTCTCCAGAAGTTTGTGGGAGAGAAGACTTGCACCATAGAAACCTGTTGAAGCCCAAAGGAGAAAATGCATCTGTAGTTCAAGAAAAAATCCCAACGCTGTCTTGGGTTGGGATTGTGTAATACTCAAAAGACACATGTTCTAATAACTTCAGCTTCTACCTATTGCCAGTCAGAAGACAGCCTTCAAGAGTTCCCATTTCTCTTAATAATGGCAAGTTTCTGACTAACCCCTTGCTCAAGAGTTACATAGACCACACAGTGTTTTTTGAAGATGAACTTTATCAAACCTTGCCAGCAACTACTTTACAGGATGGGGGTCTGTGTGGTTTTGGTTTTATTTTTCCAAAAATCAAAAGACCTTCCAAATGAGTGCTTCCACCTGTCTGTATTAATTATGCTGACTTATGTTCTGGTTCTAAACCCTTGAAGGCACCATTAGGGCCTTTGTCACTTTGTGAATCAAAAAAGTTTCTTCTGGTGATGTAAACTTAATTGAAAATAACTTGGGTATTTGCATTGTGTTAGTCTTGCAAAAACTTTTCCAGTATAAAATTCATTCAATATTTTAACTAAAATGATCTTTTAAAAAAAAAAAAAAGCTGAGGCACACAGGCTATTTGCTTAGTGTGAGCTTTGCCACGATTATAGCTAGTCTTATTTATGTTAGCCCTAAGTATGCCAGACTTGAGTTGTTATTTTGAACATGTAGACCAAAGCTGCTACAGCAGAATCCAAATCCAGCTAATACAGGGATGTTGAGAACTGGAGCTCTGCTGCTGTTTTTCAGAAGCCTAGCATCCTCCCTGCTACGTGTGCAAGTACTGTGTGGTAGGACTGATTGAAAGGGCAAGGTCTGGTTTGTATCTTGACAAGTGTTTGTATCTTATTTTTTAAGGGAGCTCACTAAAAGAAAAGTTGCAGATCATGTTTCTGCTAATACACTTCTGAGCTGTAAGCTTCAGTTCTTAGGATAAGCATCTTGGTTAGAAAATGGGCTTGTTCAGTGAGTCAGTATTCAACTTAGTTCAACACTTGGTTCTACCTGGTGAATTAGAGTTTTAGAACAAATATCAGGCTCTAAGTGGTGGTGCAAAGTGGGGGGCTTTCATGTAAAGGATTTACATGCCTAGCAACTGAGGCGTTAGCCAAGTTAAAGGTTTGAGAGTCACTTCACTGAAGTATGAAAGCTTTTAGGAGCTGTCTGTCCATGTTCAACCCACACTTAAACATCTATTGTATAGGTGAATGTGGCTGTTGAAAGTCAGGAGGCTTTCTCTTTGTTTCCATTCTGAATTAAGCATAAAATGTTGGTTTTCTCTTTAGTAGAGATGAAGATGACATAAATGATGTGACTTCTATGGCTGGGGTCAACCTGAAAGAGGAGAATGCGTGCATTTTGGCAACAAACTCTGAGCTTATTGGTACAGTGATCCGCTCTTGCGCAGATGAACCTTTTCTCTCCTCAGAAGTGCTTCAGAAGAGGATCTTGAACATAGGTGAGAAAAAAACATACGTAACAGATGTGTGGATGTGGTATTTCCTTGCCTGTTTCATCAGCCTACCTCCAGTCTTTGAAAAGGGAGCTGAAACTATTAAGATATGCCATCTCAATTAATGTCTTTCTACCAAACTATATTCAACTTTTATTTCCCCTTGTAGAAAACAGTTGTACTTTTAAGAAAAAAAGAATTTGGTGCTACTTTTACATGTGAGAACTGAACAACTTTATTACTCTTAAAGTTAATGGAACACATAACCATATAGATGCTAGTGTCAAACCAAACACTTAAGGAGGCTCTTCTATTTCTGTGGCTCCTAACTGACTTTGCTAACAACTTTTGCATTCTTCAGCCTGTTCAAATATATGTACTCTATTGACCAACATCAGACATCCTGCCCATGTGATTAGGAGGAAGTTTCAAACTGTCAGTATGCACAGGGCAGACCTTTGTTTATCACTCTTTCTATGGAAAAGTCTTTCATTTTATGCAAAAGAGATGTTAAAACTGTTTGTATCTGTGAATAATACTGTGGAATGCATGTTGAATGGCTGAGACTAAACTGTAAATAGGAAGTTTTTAGTGTTCGTATCTGAGCAAAATAATAACTGTTGCTTAGCAATGTTGTATTATGTCAGAGCAGGGAGCATACATTTGTATAGTACCACACTGATTGGTACCTAAAAGCAAACTGGATGAATGTTGCTCAACTCCTTGCTCCTGCTCTCTGCTTGGTAGCAGAGCAGTAAGTTTTGCAGCTGAGCATTCAGAAGAGCCTGCGATTCATACATGAAGTCATAACTCTGTCACAGTGGTTTAACTACATGCTCTCAAAGTCTTCCTGCATGCAACTTGTTCCTAGTCCAAACTAAGCAGGTAGCCTGTGACAAGCATGTAACCTGCAAATGCTACCTCAATGCATCCCATGTTAGTTAGCCAGATGTGCCATCTGAGCTGTATGGGGCATAGTTGAGTGAAGTAAGTGCTGTGCTACTAGTGAAAAAAGGAAAATACACATTGAAACTGGTGCAGAAGTTTTTCTCAAAATTCAGTAGAGGGTTAAACAGTCACACATGGGAAGTAGATAGAAGGAAAAATGAAGAGCTCTACAAAAACATGAAGACAAAGTGCTTCTGGAATAATTATCTGGTTTGGGTTGTGAAGACAATTCATTGAAAGACAAAAAATACAAGCCTGGCTGTTTCATGGCTGGCATGGTAGCAGTTCCACATTAATAATAATAATTCATGTTGTAAATGAAAAGTGTTTTGATTGCGAGGAAAGGAATACTGCCAGGGAGTACAGCAGTTCAGAAAATGAACACTTCTGCTCTTAAACTCAGTCCTCCGTTTTAGGAAGTGTGTGTGTGCGTGTGTGTGTGTGTGTGTGTGTGGAGAGAGGTCTTGAGGTTTGCG